GGGGGGGGGGGGGGGGGGGGGGGGGGGGGGGGGGGGGGGGGGGGGCATTTCGTGTTTTCGCGATTTAGGAAGTGTAGTACGCATGGTCGGGGGAATGCGGGGCTACTGTATTTCGTATGTCGTGTTACTGCCATGTTCACACCATGGGAGCACACGTTTTGTGCAGATTTCGGGGGACTTCGCACGCCCGATGTGTGTACACGGGAGGGCTGTTAAGCTGCAAGTTCGTTTACCCTGGTGTGCGGTGCTGTTTGCGTGTGGGCGCCCCCGAATCGAGTTTGATACAAGAGCCTTGCTCTGCATGGGCATTTTTTGGCAGCGAATGCGTCAGGGCTGCATTTGGAACAGTTCGGGCGTTTGGGCCATGCAGGGACGCGGTCCCGATGCGCCTTCCCCCCCCCCCCCCCCCCCCCCCCCCCCCCCCCCCCCCNGCCGGCTTGTACGCTGGATATATCTCAAAAAATGCATTTTTTCCCGAACGAGGATAGCTTGCCCTGTGCGCCAAACACACACAATGCACAAATTTCACAACTTGACGCGAGTACCAAGACGAGGGCAAGCGTAGCCTGACGCAGACGTGTTCCAGCCTCTTGCACTCTGAGCGCACGTCGAGCGACAGGTTTGCCTCTACCAGCGTGTTCCTGCGTATTTGCAGAACGCGCCATCGTGTTTCCTCCTGAAAGAAAGACAATAGTTCAACGGCGAACCAACTCCTTGTGGGTGGACTCAGCTTGTGAAGTCTCGAGGTGGCTACGGAAACCGGTACCGAGAGCAGCAAATTGAGTCATGAGGGGGGGTTTCTGACGCCCTGTCTCCACCCCTCGGTTTGGCCGCCTCTGTTGGCTTTGAATTGTTGCTTCCAGCATCGACCCAGCGGCGTATGGCGAACCAAGGCCTGCAAGACCTGTACGATTGGCTGGGGGGCGACAACTGGAAGTGCCGCGACGGCTGGCTGGACCCTGGAAGCGACGTGAGGGAGTGGCACGGGCTCACCATAACCACTTCTGGCGACTTGGTGTCGATCAACCTCATCAGCAATGATCTCGAGGTGGGCTTGAAGAACACACGTCCCGCGGCAATTTCTTCTTTGATTGGTTTTGCGGGGTTCCTTACTTGGGGCGTCTGTGCCATCTTTCGAAATGAAAGGAATACCACCTTGAGATGAAAACGACTCTCTTGCATGTTTCTTACTTTTGCGTCAGTGCCCCGTCTGGCGAAACAAGTATACCCGAGATAAAACGTGCCTTGTTCTAGCCGGACTACTGTCGTTGTTTCTCCTTGGTAGTTCAGCTGACCGAGATGCCACAGAGCCCGAAAACGGAAACACAGCAGTTTACCCGGGCGAATGTAGTAGCGTTTGTCTCTTGAGACTTTCCTCAAAAGGTTTCCTTTTGAAACCGCAGGGAAGGCAAAATAGCGGTTCGACGGACACACCACGCTGCAGAACCCCACAACACGCAAGCACACTTGCTCGCCTCCATCTGACATCTGACGGGTCGTTCGAACGCGTTGCAGGGAGAGATGCCCGAGAGCCTGTGCAACCTGTACTCACTTCAGCACCTCAACCTGTCCTACAACTTCGGTCTGCGAGGTTGGATCCCCGAGGGGCTCGGCGACCTCATCAAACTCAAGACCCTGCATCTGTACAGTGCTCTTTTGACAGGTGAGGGGGGGGGGGTACGCAGTGGTGTCAACGCACACCCTTCTAGAGAGAAGACGGGGGGGGGGTCGCAGGTTGCTCGCCTTTGTCCCTGAATCAACAAGAGTCCTCTGTTAAGGTTGTGCAAACATCGCTCGTTGTTGGCGTGTGTGTGTGTGTGTCCCCACTCGTCTGCCGTACCAGGCGCTATCCCCGAGTCGCTCGGCCAGTTGCATAGCCTGGAAGAGCTCTTCCTGCACGGCAACCGCCTCACGGGCGAGATTCCGCCATCCCTCGGCAACCTCAAGAGCTTGCGGAAGCTGTTCCTGAACTCGAACGATCTCGTCGGCACCGTGCCGCCGGAGCTGGGCAGGCTCTCTTCGCTCGACACGCTCAACCTGAGCTGGAATAACCTGCACGGGGAGGTGCCCGCTAGCGTCAAGAACCTGGTGAGAGGCCGGAAGAACCGACTTCGGAAGGGGGAAGAGGGTAGTCTGTTTCTGTCTCTTCGGTCCCTCTCTGTAGGCGGTTTTTAGACATGGGTGTGCTCATGAGTAAGGTGCGCATACGGCCTAGCGTCGTGTCCCCGGGCTTTCTCTTGCCGAGGCGCTTTCGTGGCCGTCTTGCATTCACTGGCAAGGTACACGCGCCCTGTCCTTCGTAAAGCAGAAGGTGCCACCCCTTATGAACCTCATGTAGTGCCTGACGAGGTTCGTTTTTTCCTTTCCCTTCCTCTGCTACTTGTATCTAGGGACGAAAATGTAGGGTTCTTAGCCCGTACTCGTGGTAAAGTTATCAACATTCTACTGTATTTGAGCCTCAACTCTTCAAATCCTTCCGAGGTGCTTATGTGGCAGTACGTTCAGAACTGCGCGGGGACATGGCATGCACAGCAGCAGCGGGCTTTCTCCCCACACGCGCAGGGGAGGTCCAACCCCACATGCTTGGGGGCGCGTGCCACCTCATACGTAGCTCCGTGTTCGAAGCGCTATGTATTGGGTTCGTTTCTTGTTAACCTGCTGTGGGAGCGTCTGTTGCGTCTGCGCCGCGTCTGCCCATGCCTATCCGTATGGGTGGGGCCCGCCTGCCTGTTTCTGGTGTTGTCGACCGACTGACCGACCGTCGTTGTTGTTGTGTTGCTCCGCCCTGGTCGATGGTCGTGCAGCAAAACCTGCAGTTGCTGTCCATCGAGGGAAACGAGCAGCTCGTGTTGTCGCGGAACTCGCACTACGGCGGACAGGTGACCGAGCGGAGGTTCTCGTTTTTGGCTTCCTTTCGTTTCTTTTTTTTTTTTCTGTTAAGTTTTTTGCTCCCGTTCGTGTCGCTAGCCCATCCCTTTCGAGAGCGCCCCTTAGGAGCGTTGCTCTTTTGACTCCACGAAGTCATTTGTCAACAAAGAAATGATATATGGTCCCCCTTGGTGCGGGCAGTTACAGCTTCCGCGTATGTCAGCTTCTGCACGATCTCCCTCTGGAGTGGGATAAAGAGAGCACCACGGTAGGGGTGAAACAAGAACATAAACGGAAGAAAAACAGATGCGTACGTAAGACTGTTCACACCGACAGCCCGGAGACATAAAATCAAGGTGCGTAGTCTCAGCAGCCCAAAGAAAATTCTTGAGATTCTTGAGAAAGATCAAGATTTACAAATCAGTCCAGTCTACCGTAAGTGCACTATTGACGACGACTGCTGTACAAAATATGTGCCGCCCGCCGTTGTTTTCAGGCAACGTTTGAGACGAGCGGGTCGTCGAACCAAGCCTGGGAAGCCGCCGAGGAAGCGATAGAGTTGCACACCGCCGCGCACTTGGGGGCCGCCGGCGAGGTACGGCTTCAGCAATAGGTGCCAGCCACCTCAACCATGGAGGAACAGGTTATAACCTTCCCGCAGACGATGTCGCTTCCTTGCCGTTGAGAAGTAGCAGCGTTCATAGTTAGCCAGCGCGGTAGATACCCTTCGTGATTCCTGCGCCGTGTGTTGGTTCGAGCCTACGGCAGCCAACACAGCGGGTATAACTTCCTTTTATTTCGGTTGACACCCTTCGGTACTTCTCGAAAAATGTGTCCCTTGGAATTTTCCTCTTCTTGTTCGGTTCCCGCCGTTTATCATCACTCGAAAGATGTATCACAGACGTAACTGGAGGTAGAAGGCGAAGCGGCAGCCTTCCAGCTGGCAGTCGTACCATTTGGTTGTCGCATTCGAGAGCAAGGACTCGTTCGGCGCTTATTACTCTAGTCGCACTATCCACATGCTTGGCTTCGAAGGCAAGGCGTACGATTTCCGCTAGAAGGCTGCCCGTTTCGCCTGCGTTGTGGCTAACACCTCCGCAACCACCTGTGAAACATCTCTTGAGTGCTGCACAACGGTGCCAGCTGATCCAAGAGTAAGCTTCCCGCGGGAGACATTGCAGAATGAAAGGAAGCCAGAGGCCTTTCGCGAGACTTGGTCGTGTTACCTTTTTTCTGCGTGAGGCGCTCCGTACAAGTTGGGGAGTTGACGGAAGAGAAGATGCCTGTTCGTATTTTTTCAGCAGTGCTTTCCGTCGCTGTACCCGTAGACGACCCCCTGTAGAGCCGGGCTTGTACCTGCTACAAAGTAGTGCCGGTGGATAGCGAATAGAGGCCCGAACTGAGAATCCCCTGCTCTTGTGTGTTGGACGTTTCAAGGTCAGGGTCCGCCCGGGCACGGAGGGGAGGCATCATCACTATTTTGGTACGTGAAGGTCACCTCCCCCCCCGCCCCCGATCCCGTTGTCTTCTTTCGCGACCCTCGTCTCTGCCCCCAAATGATCGTGTCCTGCCCTTTTCTCAGCATTCCGCTGCTCACCTGGGCTGAAGAGGAGGAAGGTCGTGCGTGTGCGCGGTGGCCCTGCCAGTTGACCACACGCGCCCATCGTCCTCCTCCTTGTCTGCTCGTGGATCGTCAAACGCTTTGCACCAACTGCTCCACGGACGCGCGTTTGGAGCTGTTTTGTGCTCGTTCTGTTGTTATGACGCCGGGGCGATGAAGAGTGTAAGAACGATTAAGTTAAGGCTTGCGATACCTCCAATATCGTTTGCCACCTCCTCGAACACACACACAGGCACCCCGCGGAGTGCACATGTCCTTTCGTTCCGTGTGTTTTTGTGCGTTTTGGTAAGGTACGCGTCTCAAGGCCTCTGGCTTTTCTTGAGCTTTTTAGCAGCGGCCAGTAGCGGCGAGTGTCGAGCATTTGCCCCCCACCCCCCCCTCCCCCATCGTTTTGCGTGCTCAGGGTGTCGTGACGTGTCAAGCTGGAAGCACTCGAAGCTGCTGCGTACCAAGCCTGATTTCATGCTTGAATATCCCCCCCCGAGTTGGTGGTCGTTAGGCGGCTGTGTCATTCACTCGGGGGCCACTGCGGTAGTAGCCTCTGGCCGTTCGAAGCCCGTGTGAGTTTTCAGACCGATCGAACTAGAGCTGTATCTACATTTTGTGCGATTTTTTCGATACATGCAGCTGGATAAAAGAGAGGTGTGTGCTGAGTTTTGGTGTCGTGAGGGCGCCAGTGTGTTGGGGTGGTGGGTTGTAAGCTTGACCGCAGCCACCGTTGGAATGGATGGAGTATACATGTATTTCTCGTTTGGGGTGCGAAAAGAAGGCTCCGAGCGTTTGAGCGGTAGGTAGTTCTTGTGTCGGATGGGTTGGTTTCTCGATGTCGATGTTGTTAATCGTCCTGGGTTTTGTCTTGCATGATCTTAGGGACTTGAAAGCCCCTTCGTTTTTTCGCCAGAATTGATCTGTGTAAATTCATCGTTTGTGTTGCGTTTTCCATCTTTTGTCGCGCAACTACAGCTAACGGTTGGCACGCCAGGGCGGCGTACGTTGCAAACCAGAGACAAGGCGTGCTATTGTTCCGTTCAGGTACACACGTTGGCGACATTCTCTCGCCCACGGCCCTGCGTGGCATCGTGGCGGCGCAACACACAAGCGCCGCCGCCGTTTTCTACTGTTAGTTGTTTGTTGTTGTTTGTTGTTCATGTTGTTGTTCATGCCGGCGCCGATGACATGGCGTTCGACCTTTTCTGGTAGTTTTTTCGTTTTTTTTTTGTGTGCGCGTGCGTGTTTGCGACATCGGGTCGTGAAATGTTGAACGTTTGATGGAGAAAAAAAAAGAGAGGCGAGGAGGGAGGGAGATGATCCCACAAGCGGACCCGCAAAGTCTAGTAGCCCAGTTGTGTCAGGACTACTTCTAGAGGAACACGTGGGTAGTGGCTTATTACAATAAGGAAAGTTTGTTTGCCCATGAGGCAAAATCGGAGAATCACCATCACGGACCGACGAGTTTGGGCATTTCGCACGTACGTTCTGCTGCGCACGGCCGGCCGGACATTTAGATTTTTCTATGATATTACAACAGTGTTAAAAAACAGAAACCTTGGGTGGCATCGTGCATAGGTCGCCTCCGCCACTCACTGCCCCGGTGCTGCCTGGTTTTGTTTTTCGGACACCGGGGTACATTTTTTCGATGTGGACTTTTCAGAAATTGTCCCGTGGCGGGTTTCAGTAGATCACGGAGCGAGCGATGTGAGTAGCGCTGCTTGAAATAGTCCATGTGTATACTAGCATAGCCGAGTGTTGTGTGTTAATGAAGGGGGGGGGGGGGGGG